AACTTTAACTACAAATATATCTGTATATCCATAGAAATGTGGTTTTGTAACTGTATTTTTATTCCAGTCAGTCATGTTATGCTTCTAGTCCTGGCCTCATGAATACGGACTACATGACTCAGACTATATCAATCAATCAATCAAATTTTTATTTGTATAGCGCCCAACAACAGCCAGAAGGTGCCCAGGGCGCTTTCCAGGATAAAAACAAGAATCACAATAGACACCGATAAAAACAAACACATAAAAAAGAACAGCAGTCGAGTCAGTGATTATGCATTGAATGCTTTCCTGAAAAGATGTGTCTTCAACTGTGATTTAAAAACACTCAACTCAGTGATGCTTCGAAGCTGTACAGGAAGTGCGTTCCACAGCTTTGGGCCTTGGGCAGCAAATGAACGGCCTCCAAACTTTTTGTATTTGAATTTGGGAGTGACGAGGGAGGTGTGTTCAGAGGAGCGCAGAGCTCTGGCTGGTTTGTAGACCGTTACTAGTTCGGCGAGGTAGGCCGGGGCCAGACCATTGATAGCCTTGAACACAAACAATATATGCCATATTTTTCATCACAAATATATTTTTGGGGACGAAAACAAAATGAAAACTAAAATCGAAGTCACTCCTTGAGACGCAGACGATGACTAAATTGATTGACATTTTTGTCCACGATTAATTCTCTACCGCCATCATGTGGACAAAAATATATAAAGCACTCTTAAGTGCCTAGAGTAAATGATGCCTGAGACCTACAATTATATATAATCTAGATTGCTCCAAAGTAAAGTAAAGCAATAGCAAGCGAGAATACTGAACCTATTTTTACAAATGACATGTTTCCAAAAAAGTATTTTTTTAGTCGACTAAAATTGGACTAAAACTAAATTAAATCAGATGACTAAAATTGTGAGTAAAACAAAAATGTATTTTAGTCAAAAGACAAAATTAACTTATATTTGGACCCTCACTCACACACTTCTTTTTGCTTATTATTGTTTAATCCAAATGCAAAAGAGACATCCAGACGGTTCTAAGCCGTAGTTTACATTGTGCTGAATCTAACTTTGTATATCAGTGAAATGACTGCATGTACTACACACACACACACACACGCACACACAACAGTATATTCTTAAATGACTGCAGAAGAGTCTGAGTTGTGTCTTTTCTGTCGCGGAGCGGGACTCAAACACATTCCCTGAGGTGCACTTGGAAACGTACACAGCGCGTCTAAAACGGGAGGCCACAGTTGTTTGCGGTTTGTGACTCAGTGCCACAAATGAAGGTCAGGAGAGGAGCAGAAATATTGTGATGCGGAGGAGTTTCTAAGTAACTAATAAGCCACGCAGAAGGTCAAAGGTACGGTTTACGCGAGCTGTGGAGCAGTGGTACAGTCGTTATAACGTACGTGTATTTGAACATATCAACGGTAACGCTGTAGGCCTTTGTGTGGCGGATGCAAAAAAGGGTTAGATGATATTTGTGTGTTGTGTTGTGTTGTCATGATTGTGTGACCATATTCCACATTCATCTATCGTTAAATAACAACGTGCAAGACATCGGAATTTTGAAAACATTTCGCCAACTTTTGTGAATATCTGGGAGTTACTGAATCAACAACTACATTTTGTCATCCAATTAGATAAACATAAGTTCACAGCTCAACTGAATTTATCCATTTGAATGTTTTTAACATCTTGAATATTTTTTTCTGTGAATTTCAGTCACTGATTATCAATTTCATAATGTTAAATTCAACAGTCTAAATTTAACAGTCACATATTCACATGACACATCCGGTGCATGAACAAATAATCCACCTTTTTTTTTTTCATAATTATTATTTTTTTTTAATATTTTGAAGGTGAATATGTCATTTTGAAATTTTAATCACATTTAAATTTGTAAACTGAATTTTTAGTGACTGAAATGCAAAGACAACATTTTCAAACAAGATTTTTCAGGGTTAAAAATTTCAATTGGAAAGATTCAAGCTAAAAAAAAATTCAAAATCTGATGACACAAAGAATCTTCCACAGTAGTGTTTCATGTTGGTTGTGTACTCTTGACCCTATCACAAAAATCAAATAATTAAACTTGGATGTGTTTTGGTTGAAGTTGAGTATGAACCAAACTTCTAAGCTGCGGTGATGAAAAATGCATGTATTATAACTGTTGCCTTTTTCATTTCTCGCCTCTGTGTGGATTTGAATAACGAATTCAAGAAAATGTACATGCATCAAATATTCAGATAAATAAGTTTACTTGTTGCCTTCAGGGTCCAGTGCCTGCGAAGTGACGACGCACCAGCAGCGAGAGCGAGACGTCAGCTGCAGCGCCGCCCGAGCTTATGCTAATGTGGCTAAACAGTTGCGGGCATGCCCAGATCGGTTAGTTCCCCATCGGCCGACACACACACACACACACACACAACACGACACACACACACACACACACACACACACACACACAACACGACACACACACACACACAGCATGTGCGTGTCGGACAGCATCATCATCAGCGGACCGAGAGACTAGACTAAAATATGAGGTAATAATTATTTTAATTGAGTGGTTTTTATTGTAATCTGAGCACGTTCTGACTGTTATAACAAGGATTTACAGATAAGGACTATTTCAAGAACTGAGAGAGACCAGAGGGAAACCAGAGAGAGACCAGAGGGAGACCAGAGAGAGAACAGGGAGAGACCAGACAGAGAGACCAGAGGGAGACCAGAGGGAGACCAGAGGGAGACCAGAGGGAGACCAGAGAGAGACCAGAGGGAGACCAGAGAGAGAGCAGGGAGAGACCAGACAGAGAGACCAGAGGGAGACCAGAGAGAGAGCAGAGAGAGACCAGACAGAGAGACCAGGGAAAGAGCAGAGAGAGACCAGAGAGAGACCAGAGAAAGAGCAGAGAGAGACCTGAGAGAGACCAGAGAAAGAGCAGAGAGAGACCAAAAAGAGACCCGAGAGTGACCAGAGAGTGACCAGAGAGAGACCAGAGGGAGACCAGAGAGAGACCAGAGAGAGACCAGAGAAAGAGACCAGAGCCTTTTAGTGTCATTTCAAGAATTGTTGCTTTATTTTCTCATTCCAAGAGAGACATTTCTAATTTTGTTTTGTCTCATTGGTAAATCTAGTTTTAAGGCTCAGTCAGAATGTGCTAAACTGAGAGACATTTTGCCAAATTTGAACCATTTTTTACTTGGTTTTCATCAGTTGTTGCCGTGTAAATCTTCTTCTTTGGTTCATTTTGTTCATCATGAGAGGATATGGACGTGCTGAAATACTGATTATAGTTTAGAAATTTCACACATTTTTGCCTGACAAAGAATAAAGGATAAAATCTTTGGCAAAATAAAGAAGCAAGTGTAAAATCTCCAACTTTAGCCCAATACATTCATAAAACAGACAAAGTTAGAGATATTTTGCATACTCTAAGCAGGATCCCCGTGAGTCACTATCTGACACTGAGTGAGGGTGGTCTCCTCTTTTTCCCTTTTCTGTCTGAAAAAGCAGATCCAAAAATGAGGCCAAAAACGACATGTGGTTTTGAGAGCGCGAGGTTTGGATGTCACAAAGTTCCAGGTCTGTGGTTTGAAAAGTTAGATACGCAGGCTTTAAATACAGCTCAAATCTATAGCTCTATGTTTTTATAAGAATGGTAAAGTGGCAATAAATCAGGAGGAAGGACACAGATGCAAGACTTAAGCTATAATTTGATTTATTAACAGCAAACAAACAAGACCAGGGTATAACGTGTCATAAATGTCCAAAAATAATATCGAGGGATTAAAGAAAATGGACGGAAACCAAAGAGACAAGGCGTATATACGACTGAAGCTAAGCTAAATGGGCTAAAAATATAGATAATCCCACATAATGATTCCAATACAGACACAACATCACACACACTGGCACAACAACATTCAACATATTTAAGATTTTTTCTCGTTATCAATATTTATGTTTTTCTTCCATTGTCACGTTTTGCAGTGCGGGTGTTTTTTAATGTTTTTGTCCCATATGTCTGTACGTTTGCAATTGATTAGCTTCAACTTTATTGTCATTCCAAAGTCAGAACAATGCAACGAAATGCAGTTTAGCGTCAAACCAGTGCAAGTATAGGATAATAGTTACTACACAGATAAATGTATTTGCGTATATACTGCACACGCTGCTATTGCTAGTAAATACATATAATATTACATGACATTCAAGTGAATCTAATGGGATTAAGTAAATTGAGAGTTCAGTTAAAGATGCAGTCAGTGATTTTTTCCGGACGCATTTTTTTAAATATTGTGGAAAAACGTCTCTAAATCCTAAAAGTATGAAGTTATCATGTGTTTTCAAATAGTAATGGAATTGACCAGATGCCTATAGTCTACAAGAATTAATGAAAAATATTTTGGAGCGGACCGATAAAAATGAACCAATGGGATTCGTTCATCCGCAACGAACCAATGGGATGCGTTTACCGCCTTCACCCTCTTCCTGTTTCTCGCGAGTGCACCTGTGTTATCGGATTTTCTAAAACCTAAAATGGCTGAACAGAAAATGCCAATTTCACGTTTGCCGCCCACTCTCCCTGTTGTGACAAAGAAAAGAAAATGCTGGATGTTTGGTTTGGTGGAGAGGGAGGGGAGGGGAGGGGGAGTGGCTTTGAGTTGGTGCTACGGCTAAGCTAACAAAATCGCTAACCGCACCTTTAAGTGTGACGGCTCTGTGATTAAAACTGTCTCTTAACCTACTGATCCTGGCTTTTGGTCTGTTCACTTTATGGCTGTGGTATGTATTTATGAATTAAGTAATCTTCTTTTCCCTTTGGTGACAGCACAGGGACTCTCATCGTTTGCCCTTGTTTTGCTCGTTTAGTAGCAAAGGAAATGTAGTTTTTGGCTGCAATCAAAACTATTCCACCCTTTCACTCCCGTTACATTTGCTAATCTTTCCGTTTCATGCATTGGTCCAACGAACCGCAAAGCTCCACAAGACAAATGCATATCCGGGCAGGCAGGTTTCTGATTCGCGACCCAGGATTCGAAGGTGAAGGGCTGCCCATCCATCCAGACCCAGCCGCCATCCAGAAAATGCAGCCCGATCCATACGTTGTAAGAGGAGAGTTTCTTGCTTACTTCTCTTTGCATCAACATCATCTCAGTCACGGACGCCACGCTCGCCAAGTCCTGGTGGTGACTTCTGCAATAATCAAGTGCCTCGTACCAGGTCTTCCTCTCTCTTACGGCGTGGACCTTGTAGCAAAGAAAGCCGAATTTGTAATAGTATGAAAAATCCCACCACATATATGAAAAAGTACCAGTAGAAGTTTTCAGAACCACGTGTTCTTCAATTCCATTGGTGTTGTCGGGTTCACCTGGTGCCCAGAAATGCTTGTCCAAATCCATGTCCGCTCCTCCAGACCACTTCCAGCCAGTACTGCTGTTCGAGCTCTTTATTAATCCAATCCAGGTCCATACGCCGAGGCTAGATTGTAGTTTCTGAATCAGGCTCATGTCGTAGGTGCTGTCAGTCGGAGCCAGGTCGGTGTGATGGGTTCGACAAAACTCCTGAGCTTTTAACCAGGTTTCATAGGTTGGTCCATAGATGTATTTTCCAGCATCGGTCGTATTCACCGCCAAAAAAAGGAGCAATAGTTTAAAGTACTGATCCATGTTTCTCTTTTGGAAGATGACAAACTACTGCTGTGTTGAACTCATTTGCGAACGTCTTACACGGCAAAAACCTTGGCTTGGCATGCGGCGGATTTGGTTAAACAAAACCTTTTAGATTAGGGATCATTGTGATTTGCTTGTTCACCATTAAGATTCTTCCAAAATAAATAAGATTAAGACGAAGAGATCCTGTTTTTGTGAGAAGCACACAGCACAAAACAAAATAAAATCTCTCACTTTTAGCTTAAGCCAGGCATGTCCAAACTCAGGCCCGGGGGCCAATTGCGGCCCTCAGTGTCATTTTCTATGGCCCTTTTCCTTGCTAACCCAAAGTAGTTAGTAGTAGTAATAGTGCTAATGTAGCTGGTGAGATGGTAAACATTTATCATACAGCCAACTTCAGCTCTGTTATAGATCATCATAAAGCTCAGAACAGCCCGATGCCAGTTTTTCAGTCCATGATGTTGGCCCCTGGACTGGTCCAGGGGCCCCTGGTCTGGTGAACTTAAGTGGCCCTCTTACTAAAAGTTAAGCGTAATAACCGGTGGACACATGTGGCTCTATATTGCACATTATTTCGATTATTATTAAAAGTATATAAAAACACGTTTATATTTGAAGAATATCAGCGTAATCATGGGTTATTTTTTCAGTTAAAATGTATAGGAGGATTTTCTACTTCCGGTTGGATGATCAAGACTATTGTTCCTCCCGGTTGTCAATCATTCTGGTGATAGGAGCTCGTCCAATAAGACCAGAGAGTTTTGTTAAAGTGGAAAGGGCAGTTCTTTCCTAAAATTGGGGATAAACCAGCCCCAGACTCAATACAACCAAACAACAAGGAAACTAAAATATTGCTATCAACTATAAATACTTCTGCAATTGTTCAGAAACCAAGTGAGAAATCTTTGGACCAATCACAGAACTTTCCCTGATAAGTTTCGTCTTTCTTCTCATTCGTTCTCATTTTTATTGGTCTTGTTGGCTGTAAAAATGTCTATAAAAGAGTCTATAAAACATGTTAAAAGTCACTTGACCAAACCTGGAGCTGCCCCGCCTTAAAGTGTCCTCATAAAACCTCATGTTTAGGCTCTTGTTTTGCATGCTCTGCCCTCGTTCCCATTTCTGACTCTTAGCAAATGTAAAGCTTCGAGCTAGAATTGAACCCTTTTAAGCTAATCTCTGTATTTGCATGCAGAGGTTTTGAATGAAGCCATGACGGAGCTTCACTGAAACTGGTCTGGTTTGGTTTGGTCTGGTTTTCTGTTACCCTTGTGTGTGTATTTAGACCCTGTGTTCCTCTGTTGTGTGTCCCTGTGCTCCACTGGTTGTGTGTCCTTAGACCCTGTGCTCCTCTGTCGTGTTTCCCTGTGTGTATTTAGATCTTGTGTTCCTCTGTTGTGTGTCCTTAGACCCTGTGCTCATCTGGTTGTGTGTCCCTGTACCTCTCTGTTGTGTGTCCCTGTGTGTATTTAATCCCTGTGCTCCTCTGGTTGTGTGTCCCTGTGTGTATTTACACCCTGTGCTCCTTTGTTGTGTGTCCCTGTGTGTATTTACATCCTGTGCTCCTCTGTTGTGTGTCCTTAGCCCCTGTGCTCCTCTGTTGTGTGTCCCTGTGTGTATTTAGACCCTGTGTTCCTCTGTTGTGTGTCCCTGTGTGTCACAACAGTAGATATCTCAGAGGACGTAACAAAACCGCTGATTCGCCAACACAGCTCAAACACTAAATACGTCATGATAAAAACCACACAAAGCCATTGGTCCAAAACACAGTGTACCGTTTGGAGATTTGGTATTTTATCCATTGAGATTTGACAATAAAATCCACTTCCTTTCACTAAATATTGTGTAGAAAATGTCTTTTAAAACACTAAAATATCTCTGATTAGTGAAGCATCTGGACTCCAGCGGTCACTCCGACACACGCTTACAGCCAAGTTCATCCAACGCTATTTCAGGCCCGCGCTACATTATCTATAAATATTCTCACTCTGAAGCATGTAGGACGCCTCAGCTGCCAGATTGCATTGTGGGTAACACAGCCGTGATGGAGCGTAGAAAAGACTTCTTCTTGGGCCGTGCATATAGTGTGTGTATTAGGGAATAGACAGAGCCTGGGTTAGAAAGAGAGAGACAGAAGAGGAAGAGGAGGCTGGTGGAACTAGTGTTTTATTTACAGATGCAGAAATGAAGGTAGTGGAAAGAATAGAGTGAGTTTATCTCAGAATGGTCTATACAAGTGACTCAAGACTGTAATAATAATAATAATGCACACTCAAAGACGCTTTACATGTCATTATTCATTCACTCCATACACGGTGGGAGAAAACTGCCACAGCTGCCCTGGGGCACACTGACAGAAGCGAGGCAACCAGTCTGTGCCATCGGCTCCTCCGACCACCACCAACTATTCACACACACACACCAGACTCATTCTAGGCAATGTCGGTGAAGTGTCTTGCCCAAGGACACAATGACAGCAGACAGTGGGAGTCGATGGTGAAAGCCTTGAGGTGGGCTCAAACCCATGACCTTCTGCCTCTAAGGCCAATGCTCTACCAACTGAGCTACTGTAGTTTGGTCATTATACAGCTGTGGTAGCCTGGCCTTATCCATCCGTACACTCCGCTCAATTATCATTTCCCGCATGTAACGTCTGGGACTGGTCAATCGGTTGAATTCCATCCGACCAATCAGAGAGCGCGGGAGGCGGGCGTTGTAGTTAGTTGTGGGTGACGTCAAGAGTTTGCGTCGAACAGGCTGGTTGTAGTTTGGCAATGGTGGAAAATGCAAAAGTAACGTTTTCCGGTCTGGTTCCATCAAGAAATTGAAGCCGGAGCAATAGGAATGTTTATCAAATGTAATCGCTGGAAAAAATTGTGGCGCTACTCCCCACGGGCTCAGTTAGCAGCAAAGGAGATGGCTAAAGCTAGGCTAAATGCTAACAACTCACTCGGGGGTCGGCACTAGATCATATACGGAATCGGGACGAAACCGGAAGTAACACTCGTACTTTCGAATTAGTTTTAGACTAATAAGTCCTTAAGTGGTGACTGGTTAAGTTTTAGGCGTCTGAGTAAGATGGTTAAGGTTAGGGTTAAGGCTGGTTTGGGGTTATTTTATGGGAATAGCAGGTTAAATTTAGGCATTAATAGGTAATTTGTAATATTTACTTCCGCTTCCGTCCCGATTCCATATATGATCTAGTGCTGACCCTCAAATCCAGCCGTGAGTCCAAAAATGTAATTTGTACTATGGTGTGGTACGACCAGGCTACAGCTGTGGTGTGGTCGCGGCAAAATTGAAATACATAAAAACTTGTTGGGACCACCCTAACACAAAGTATTATTTACATGAGTTTGTATATTATTTTAGGTTTAGATTCAACCAAAACTGGGCCAAATATAAAAACACCTGAGCCGTTTGTTCAATTAAATGGTTGTTTTCCTGAGGCTTAATTTATAATCAAGTATAACATGTCATAGTTTCTCATTTCCATCCAATGCTTCAAAATTTGAAATAGTTATCCTTTCCGGGGGCCCTAAAAATGGTCTTGAGGGCGGATTAAAACAAAACTAACCTGGTCTTACCATGTGTAAACTCTGGTCCATGATCATTTCCTACATGTACGTCTGGTCTTACCATGTGTAAACTCTGGTCCATGATCATTTCCTACATGTACGTCTGGTCTTACCATGTGTAAACTCTGGTCCATGATCATTTCCTACATGTACGTCTGGGTCTGGTCCTAGTGGCTGCAGTTTCCTCGGTTGAATCCCCTCCGACCAATCAGAGAGCGGGGGAGGCGGGTGTTGTAGGTCGGTGTCGGTGACGTCAAGAGTTTGTGCTGAATTTTCTGGTTGTAGTTTGTCGGAGAATGCGATAGTAAAATAATCTGTTCTGGTTCAATCCAAATATCAAGAAACTGAAGCCAGAGCAAGAGGAATGTTTAGTAAAAGTAGTTGAAGAAAAGATGTGGCTCTACTCCCCACGGGCTCCGTTAGTGGCAAAGGAGATGGAGCTAGGATAAATGCTAAAGCTAGGATAAATGCTAAAGCTAGAATAAATGCTGAATGCCTCTCTCACTCAGGCTCATTACATACGTCACGGTAAACTCCAGTTAATTTGTCAGTGTCACAGCGTTTACCACCTGTTTGTGAAAGTGTTTAAGCAATTATGTTTCGTCGTGTGAACTTGTAAAGTGAATGAAGACGTTAATTAACAGGTTTTCTGACAGCTTCAATCAAACTGACCTGTGCAGCTAATACGCGGCTGGTACCCAAACGAAAGAGCGACATCCTCAGTCTGTTCTACGACCACTTTCTCATGAATAAAGACGTTTTAAATCACAGCAGTTTTACAGATATGCAAATGAAGCTTGAGCGCAAATTCAGACTGGAAGACTATATTCTGCAGGTTCATCCAACCCAGGGCCAGACTCTCCATCCTCTAATCACAGACCTCTGTCAGCTGCTCCTGCCCTGGCTCCTGCCCTGGCTCCTCCTCTGGCTCCTGCCCTGGCTCCTGCCCTGGCTCCTGCCCTGGCTCCTGCCTTGGCTCCTGCCCTGGCTCCTGCCCTGGCTCCTCCACTGGCTCCTGCCCTGGCTCCTCCTCTGGCTCCTGCCCTGGCTCCTCCTCTGGCTCCTGCCCTGGCTCCTGCCCTGGCTCCTGCCCTGGCTCCTGCCCTGGCTCCTGCCCTGGCTCCTCCTCTGGCTCCTGCCCTGGCTCCTGCCCTGGCTCCTCCTCTGGCTCCTGCCCTGGCTCCTCCTCTGGCTCCTGCCCTGGCTCCTCCTCTGGCTCCTCCTCTGGCTCCTCCTCTGGCTCCTGCCCTGGCTCCTCCTCTGGCTCCTGCCCTGGCTCCTCCTCTGGCTCCTGCCCTGGCTCCTGCCCTGGCTCCTCCTCTGGCTCCTGCCCTGGCTCCTCCTCTGGCTCCTCCTCTGGCTCCTCCTCTGGCTCCTCCTCTGGCTCCTGCCCTGGCTCCTCCTCTGGCTCCTCCTCTGGCTCCTCCTCTGGCTCCTGCCCTGGCTCCTCCTCTGGCTCCTCCTCTGGCTCCTGCCCTGGCTCCTCCTCTGGCTCCTCCTCTGGCTCCTCCTCTGGCTCCTGCTCTGGCTCCTGCTCCTGCTCTGGCTCCTGCCCTGTCAGCGCCCCATTCACACCATGCCCTCTAGCCACCACCAGTGCATGACTCCGGGGGATCTGAAACCATCTTCAGCTACAATCATCTCCCATTTGTAAGTGTCACTCCTGGGGTCAATGCAGCAATCCATAAATCTTTCTCAAATGTATTTCATGTCAGTTCTGGTCTCTCCAGACTTAAAATGTATTATTATTACATTAAGTTATTTAAAAGCACCTTTCTAAACACCCAAGGACACTGTACAGGACATAATAAAAAACATTAAAAACAGGAGAAACAGAATAAAACAGTAGTGCAACATGGAATGGTGTGTGTGTGTGTTAGGTGGGTGTATGTGTCTGTGTTGTGTGCGTGTGTTAGGTGGGTGTGTTGTGTGCGTGTGTTAGGTGGGTGTGTGTGTGTGTTAGGTGGGTGTGTGTTAAGTGGGTGTGTGTGTGTGTTAAGTGGGTGTGTGTGTGTGTTAAGTGGGTGTGTGTGTGTGTTAGGTGGGTGTGTGTGTGTTAGGTGGGTGTGTGTGTGTGTTAGGTAGGTGTGTGTGCGTGTGTTAGGTGGGTGTGTGTGTGCGTGTGTTAGGTGGGTGTGTGTGTGTGTGTGCGTGTGTTAGGTGGGTGTGTTGTGTGCGTGTGTTAGGTGGGTGTGTGTGTGCGTGTGTTAGGTGTGTGTGTGCGTGTGTTAGGTGGGTGTGTGTGTGTTAGGTGGGTGTATGTGTGTGTGTGTTGTGTGTGTGTGTATGTGTGTGTGTTGTGTGTGTGTGTTAGGTGGGTGTGTTGTGTGCGTGTGTTAGGTGGGTGTGTGTGTGCGTGTGTTAGGTGTGTGTGTGCGTGTGTTAGGTGGGTGTGTGTGTGTTAGGTGTGTGTGTGTGTGTTAGGTGTGTGTGTGTGTGTGTGTTAGGTAGGTGTGTGTGCGTGTGTTAGGTGGGTGTGTGTGTGCGTGTGTTAGGTGGGTGTGTGTGTGTGTGTGTTAGGTGGGTGTGTTGTGTGCGTGTGTTAGGTGGGTGTGTGTGTGTTAGGTGTGTGTGTGTGTGTTAGGTGTGTGTGTGTGTGTGTGTTAGGTAGGTGTGTGTGCGTGTGTTAGGTGGGTGTGTGTGTGCGTGTGTTAGGTGGGTGTGTGTGTGTGTGTTAGGTGGGTGTGTTGTGTGCGTGTGTTAGGTGGGTGTGTTGTGTGCGTGTGTTAGGTGGGTGTGTTGTGTGCGTGTGTTAGGTGGGTGTGTGTGTGTTAGGTGTGTGTGTGTGTGTGTTAGGTAGGTGTGTGTGCGTGTGTTAGGTGGGTGTGTGTGTGCGTGTGTTAGGTGGGTGTGTGTTAGGTAGGTGTGTGTGCGTGTGTTAGGTGGGTGTGTGTGTGCGTGTGTTAGGTGGGTGTGTGTGTGTGTTAGGTGGGTGTGTGTGTGTTAGGTGGGTGTGTGTGTGTTAGGTGGGTGTGTGTGTGTTAGGTGTGTGTGTGTGTGTTAGGTGTGTGTGTGTTAGGTGGGTGTGTGTGTGTGTGTGTGTGTTTAGGTGGGTGTGTGTGTGTGTGTGTTAGGTGGGTGTGTGTGTTAGGTGGGTGGGTGTGTGTGTGTGTTAGGTGGGTGTGTGTGTGTTAGGTGGGTGTGTGTGTGTTAGGTGGGTGTGTGTGTGTTAGGTGGGTGTGTGTGTGTTAGGTGTGTGTGCGTGTGTTAGGTGGGTGTGTGTGTGCGTGTGTTAGGTGGGTGTGTGTGTGTTAGGTGTGTGTGTGTGTGCGTGTGTTAGGTGGGTGTGTGTGTGTGTTAGGTGGGTGTGTGTGTGTGTGTGTTAGGTGGGTGTGTGTGTGTTAGGTGGGTGTGTGTGTGCGTGTGTTAGGTGGGTGTGTGTGTGCGTGTGTTAGGTGGGTGTGTGTGTGCGTGTGTTAGGTGGGTGTGTGTGTGTGTTAGGTGGGTGTGTGTGTGTGTGTGTTAGGTGGGTGTGTGTGTGTTAGGTGGGTGTGTGTGTGTGTTAGGTGGGTGTGTGTGTGTTAGGTGGGTGTGTGTGTGTGTGTGTTAGGTGGGTGTGTGTGTGTTAGGTGGGTGTGTGTGTGTGTTAGGTGGGTGTGTGTGTGTGTTAGGTGGGTGTGTGTGTGTTAGGTGGGATAGGACAGTCTGAACAGATGGGTTTTGAGTCAGGATTTGAAGAGTGGAAGAGAGTCCATGGTACGGAGGTCAGGGGGGAGAGAGTTCCAGAGCTGGGGGGCAGAGTGGCTGAAGGCCGGAAAATGTCCACAGCAGACACAGCAGATTGTAGAGACCATTGCCAAAAGACAAAAGAAATGGTCATTTTCTTCCATCATGGACACTCCCCCAGTCCCCCACTCACTGTCAACAATGACCCCATAGAAAAGGTTCATTCGTACAAATATCTTGGCACCATAATCGACCATAAACTCACTTCTCTGAATGCCAACAGCGCCTTTTCTTTCTCCGTAAACTTTGTAAACTTCAGGTTCACAAATCCATTCTCTCCGTTTTCTACAAATGCTTCATTGAATAAATTCTCACTTTCAACATTACAGCTTGGTTTGGTTCACTCAGTCTCATGCATCGGAATTCACTCAATAAGATCATTTATATCAGCAGCAAAATGTTTGGACAGCAGCAAGACTCACTCACAGACATTTACAATCACAAAGTTTTAAGGAAAGGCCAAGATCTCCACAGACAGCTCCCACACTCTGCACTCTCACTACAGTCTGCTCCCATCAGGGCGTGGGTTCAGGTCCCTCCCATTTAAAGGAATAGTTCACCGTTTTTACATACTGACATATGTTCTTACCTTACCTTAGACTAGTTAATATGTACCTGTCTGGTCTTAGTCCGTGCGCTCTGTCATGCAAACGGAGCAAAAACGGGAGCACAAACGCAGCCTCCTCTGTATACTGTATAGGACCCAAAAGGTAGCTCCCGCTAGAAGCTACCAAACTCTTCCAAGTGTTCCCTATTAAATGTATATAGTTACGTGACGTGTTACACTGCAAAGTATAGTAACACAGAAATTTAACTGTCGATTTTCTCAGCGGATAAAACGGGTACTATATTGTGAGGCGTAGTAATCTGAGGAGCGCTACGTCCGCGCACTAACTTCTCTCCGGAGACTTCTCTCTCGCTCACTTCCGTCAATAGAAGCAGCGTGACTTGTAGTACGGAGAGAAGTTAGTGCGCGGACGTAGCGCTCCTCAGATTACTACGCCTCACAATATAGTACCCGTTTTATCCGCTGAGAAAATTGCATTTCTGTTACATTTCTGTGTTACTATACTTTGCAGTGTAACACGTCACGTAACTATATACATTTAATAGGGAACACTTGGAAGAGTTTGGTAGCTTCTAGCGGGAGCTACCTTTTGGGTACTATACAGTGACCAGAGGAGGCTGCGGTTGTGCTCCCGTTTTTGCTCCGTTTGCATGACAGAGCGCACGGACTAAGACCAGACAGGTACGTATTAACTAGTCTAAGGTAAGGTAAGAACATATGTCAGTATGTAAAAACGGTGAACTATTCCTTTAAAGCTGGCCACATCCAGCTTCCTCCCAACCTGAATATACTTGGATCGTGTGTATCTGTGTTTTTGTGTACCCTCACCGGTGCTCCATCTGTAAATGAAGTTCCTCACGGATTAATAAAGTTATTTGAATTGAATTGAATAGTAGACGACAGTAGCTCAGTTGGTAGAGCATTGGCTTTAGAGCCTGAAGGTCATGGGTTCGAGCCCACCGTAAGCCCTACTTCACGACTCCCACTGATGTTGTGTCCACTTAACCCCACTTTGCCTGAAGCCCCCGCTGAAAGATCTCACCACCTGCAGTGAGGGAGTGGTGCTTTGTGTACTGGGTGCAGCTCTGACTACCACCGCCCCGACCCAGACATGGATTAAGGGGAAGAAAATGGATGAAAAGGAAAAAAACACAAGCACTCAGATTATGGATGTATTATTTATCTCCTCCATTATTTACGATATAAAACAATAGAATAATCCGAGGCAAACCACTCACACATTTAAACCTACAAGTTTGCTCTCTGCTTCTCTGAGCCCCGGAGTCTCCTAGCTGTTATTCCGACGCCAGAGAGAGCGCTGTTTAAGAAGGGGCCGCCCCACTGAGAGGAAAAATGGCCCCACTCCCAGGTGAGCAGCGCATGAATAAGTTATAAGTAGAAAGTCAAGGAACCGGCGACCTCCTCTGCTGCTGTCCCGGCGGCGTGGAGCGGGGACTAATGTAATGCAGCAGTTAATGTACTAGTCAGGACCCAGGCGGGGGAAAGAAGTGTGAAAAAATATTGTGATTTATGGGCCTGCCATTCCCCTGACAGCAAGAGCACGCATTCAAATGGAGAGGAAGAGGTGACATCTTATTTGTGTCTCAAAATAGTTAGAGGCTAAAGCGGCAACGCCATGCATTCAAATGGAGTGTGTTTAAATATGACGGGGCAAGTTTTGTCGGATAATATTTGAGAATTGAAAGTAAAATCGACAGTAACTTTGACGGTAACTTTCAGAATAAGTTTGTTGACCTTATCGCTCCAGGTCGCTCTTCGGTCTTTCTCTGGTCTTTCTTTATTCCCAGTCAGGTATCTCTCATCTGGTCTCTCCCTGGTCTCTCTCTCTCTGGTCTCTCTCTCTGGCGTCTCTCTCCGGTCTCTCTCCGGTCTCTTTCCGGTCTCTCTCCGGTCTCTCTCCGGTCTCTCTCTGGTCTCTCGCTTGTCGCTCTCTCTGGTCTCTCCCTGGGCCCCTCTCTGGGCCCTCTATGGTCTCTCTCTGGGCCCTCTATGGTCTCTCTCTGGGCCCTCTATGGTCTCTCTCTGGGCCCTCTATGGTCTCTCTCTGGGCCCTCTATGGACTCTCTCTGGGCCCTCTATGGTCTCTCTCTGGGCCCTCTATGGTCTCTCCCTGGGCCCTCTATGGTCTCTCTCTGGGCCCTCTATGGTCTCTCTCTGGGCCCTCTATGGTCTCTCTCTGGGCCCTCCCTGGTTGGTCTCCGGTCTTTCTCACTCATTGTGCCATAGTCCGAAATATACAATACTAAATAAAATTAAAAAAAGGAAAACCACT